ATTTAGTATGATAATATAGATATATGTGTCTTATATATAGTCTACTGGATCGGCTGTATAATCAACTATCAATAGATCAATTATAAGGTTACATGTTTTTAAAACCTTCACCATAAAGCTCAAAGTTAGATTTATCGAAAGTTAAATATACATGACACATTTCCTGTAGAAATTACCACAGTCCTTCAATTCATAATGTCATCCTGATCAAGCATAAAATATATGCTACTGTTCGTTAAGCAAAAACAAATCAATCAATCAATCAATCAATCAATTCAAAAACAAGTTCCATAGATATATTTGATTAAATCATCGATCTTCATTTTATGCGACATTATTTATTTTCTCTTGATTAGAGTCACTACATCGTGTTCAATCAAATTTCTTGACTTTCGTTTCACAAAGTTTCAAAATACATATAAACTTTTTTATGTGTACAAAGTAACTGCAGGGATGATCACATTTATATAAGATTGCGTTATACTAGGATCGAGTTATTAAGAACACAGATCTTTTGATATTTTCAAATTAAAGTATCTTGCAATGATTGTACTAATAGTATACGTACTACTGTTTATAAAAACTGATTTAATGCAGGACAGTTTTTTTTACAATATAATAAAATCTTACCCTAGTGGTAATTCTTGCATAGTTACTTAGTACACAGAAAAAGTATGTGCTATGGAACATATAATGATTTAATTTTTATGAAAACTGTTACTCAGTCCTACTCGTCCAATGAAAATCTGTTTTTCTATTTTTCGAAATACATGGATTTCCATGCGATATAAAATGCTATATACGAATAACTTCCCATTGTAGATTAATATGAAAATGAACTCTTAAAATATCTGCAGTATAAACGCCCAAGAGGCAATTTCCATAGAAAAAGCAAAGACAAATAAATCATGAGCACTGTTGTTTGTCTAATGATTATGAATAAAAACAAGATAATATAGTTTTTAAAACATTTTAAGCTGAGTTTTGAATAGTGTAAACGTTATGTAATGGTACATAGATGGAACAAACAAAATCGGGAGTACAGGTGTATGTAAAATAAATTATATTTAATTAAGTTTGTATTTGATACTTTATAGTCAAGGTTTTAAGAAACATAACTGTTGATAAATAAAGTAAGGAAATTAAAAACAAAACAAAAATAACTTAACTTTCATCTATAAAAAGTAAGCATCTGATGATTGAACAATCGTAATTCTATCATTATCGTAAAAAATGCAATTTTCAAAAAACCTGATTTTTATGACAGTATGTGCTTTTTAAAATGAAAGATTTCGAGATATGTAGGTATTAAAGAAATTATTAACTGATAATGTAGTAAACATTTGATTTAAACATATGTAAAAATGTCCAGCTGTTTCAGTCATATATTCACAAATTGCGTCATTAGTTACGTATTCGTGACAACTTAATAAAAGGGAATTTCGTAAAATCATTATTTCTTGCAGAATTATGCAAAATTTATGACAGTTTTCTGAAAAATTAACAGTAGCGTCAACCTTCGCTTACACATATTTTTTGCTGAAATAGTCTTTATATACCATATGCTTTACTTTATAACAAAAAAATCAATGAACATCATGAAAAAAGATGGAAAAAGTTGACACATTTCTTGAAAAATGGACGAAAATGAAATCTACTCCTTTTCATGTTAATATATTTATAAATTAGAAGCAGATACACAATATTCGTATTATACTTTTAAATATCATTCGTTTAGCAATCAGGGTTGGCAAAAACCCGGTTTTTATGCGTATTGGCCAGCCCAGTTGGAAATACTGGGAAAACCCGATTTTTACTGGGTTTTACCGGGTAATACTTGGTAATATGAAATACTGGCCTGAATTTTAGAGGGGTTTTAGTGATTAATCACAAATTAAATACATTGAAGTCATAGGATTCAATTTTGTTTTTTAAATAATTATAACTAATATGAAAAATTAACAATTCTATGCTAGGAAAATTACTTTTAAACATTTTTGTTTATTACTAAAAATGTTGACTAAGTTTTAGCATATGTTTATGTACATCACTAATTAATAAGTAATTGTTCAGGTTATAATACAGATTTGTTTATATAACAATAATCAGCCTTTTGATGTCTATAAGTGTTCATGGCCTCTCCCCTTAGGATGTTTATTTAGCAATATGATTGTAACACAATCAATCTTTACAATTCACTTTAAAACTGCAATAAAATGCCTTTTTCAACTTTGATTTAATATTGAAACAAAGCTAGAAAATTTACATTTAGTATCCTGGAAAGTCCAAAAATGTATTTTCCCTACATAGAACTAGTGGAGAAAATGAAGAAATTGAATTTTCAATCTTCATGAATGACTCTAAATGGTTATCTGTACAAAATGTATGTATTTAGCTATAATACTATTAAACTACAATAAGTCTGTACTATTTTGTTTAAAAATAAGCTTGAAAAATCATATTACCCAGTATTGCCCAGTATAACTCATTGCACCTTAATATTTTTGTGAGGACAAAAATATATTTTTTTCTACTTCAGGTAAAAGGAGTAAAACCCAGAAACCCAATAAGCGGCCCTGTGAAGCTGTTATTTTTAACTTTTAATTATTAAAGTAAATCTTATGGGGATATATTGCTGACAGGGTTGGCAAAGTATTATCCGGGCGGGAAAACCCGGGGGGGGGGGGGGGGGGAGGGGGGTTCCCGTGCTGGGCAATACTCCTACAAATGAGTTATACTGGGCAATACTGGGTAATATGATTTTTCAAGCTTATTTTTATACAAAATAGTAAAGATTTCTCTTGGACATTAGAAATTGAAGAACAAGTTAAATTTACTGCATTTGCTATGACCGTCGAGATAGTAAAAATAAACTTACTCGTCTCATCTGACTACATAGAACATTAATATTATGTATAATTTGTAAAAGAATTATAGATTTATTTGATTTATGACGAGATCGGATTAGGAACGAAACTCAAATCTTCTGTTGATGTGAATAAAAGTAACAAAGACTTTCAAAGAGAGGCGGAAGTGAACAAAACGGATAGTAACACTCATAATGAAGTAGGATAAGAACTTAGAAGGCATCAAATAACAGGAACTTTTACTGAGATAGGTCTACCATTGAAGCAATTGTAAACAATGCATGAAATATATGCCAATTCACCAAAAACTGAATGAATGGTTTTAATGTAACGTTTGTGACTGCATCGAACCAGTTTACAAACCAAAAAATCACATGATTGTTTACCTAGATATTGTTGAAGTTATTTTCAATGCTATGACTTTTGGCCTCATTAAATTCTCTCATTAGCCGTAGTAAAAATGATTTTACGAAATGGCAAGATAACAAAATACACAAGTCCTTCAAGGATATGCACGTGGTGAATAAACCGTATTCCAAATATAAATTCAACCGCCGTCGTCAATCGAAAAAGAAACCAACATTTAGATAAACACAATCACAATATTAGATTTGTAATATTCCTGCCACTGGAAACGATCCAGAAACAACAAGGGCAATTACATAAACAATTTGAAGATTCTGTGCAATTATCAAACTGTCTCGGAATATTATCTCGACTGCAGACAGCATATCTCCTTGGCCTAGATGACAATACAACGGGGAAAAGGGACATATTTAAAACTTCGTCTATTGATATCATGAATATTGTTGATAAAAGAAATCAACAAAATAAACATTGTATAAATTATACACTTGATGATCCTCTATCTATATTTAGATTAGATAGTAAGCATCAATTATTATGTAAACTTGGTCAAATAACAATTAGTAAATTACAAGATATTTTCAAGGAGTCATAATCTCGTTTTTCAGCGCACTCTACGATTATTTGCGTAAAATTAATAAAGTATATTTAATGACTCAACCATTCAAAACTGTATACCTCCCTATTTGGATAACAAAGAACCACCTATTATTTCGTATGGATACATAAAAAAACCGTCGAATTATAGATATGATCTCTATGACCGTGTTATGAAAGGGGGGAGAGTCAATATCGTTCAAGATCGTTTCTAGTCTGTTCTTATGTTGTACTATTTCATCATTGTCACAAGTGGGGGAGGGTCGGCGCCTTCAAATTAGTTCAACCCCTCCACATTCTGTATGTGCCTTCCCCATGTCAGAAGCCTGTGATTGAGTTGTTTTCATTTTATGTTGTTTCTGATATTTGTTTTTCGTTTTATTGTTTTGTATATTTTGTTCGTATTTTGTGCCGTTGTATCACTGTCATGGTTAATGGGGAGGGTTTGATGCCAGCAAATTAGTTTAACCCCTCATATTCTGTATGTGTCTGTCCCATGTCAGGAGCTTTAAATTCAGTAGTTGTCGTTTGTTGCTGTATATCAAACTGGTTTTTGTTCATTATTCTGAACATAATTCTAGCCGTTTGTCAAATGTCAAATGTAGTTTCTCGTTTGTATGGTTTTACATATGCAGTATGGATTTTTACTAGTTGTTGAAGGCCGTACGATGACCTATAATTGTTAATTTTTGTGAAATTTGGTCTTTTGTGGACAATTGTCTGTCTCGTTGGCAATCATATTACATCTTCTTTTTTTTTTTATAAAAAAACATTTAAAAAAGGAAGTACTTTCCTCCTTCTGTTTTAGAAGACTGTAGGAATTAAAACAGGTCATCGTACATATCATTATTGAAAATGTAGCTTTTTGTTCGACATTGATCGCCTTGTATATATATTTTCATGATTCAGTGCTGTAATTTTTTTTTTCTGGTGATGATAACATCTTACTATCATTTTTATCACTCTCTTAAAGTTTAATTTTAATGCCAACCAGAAATTTTCAGACCTACAATAATACAGTTGTGACAGGTTTGATTGCCAAATTGTGCTTACATGAATTTATTCAACTTGTTCATATAGAAAGTATTTAGCATATTTATTATAAGCATGACAAATTGAAGTCTATTGGTAGCAGTTTGTAATAAATTATTTCTCTTTGTATTATAATAGTTACAATCAGAAAAGTTAAAATATGAAATCGAAGAAGCTAATGTCAAAGCAGTAGCAGCATCTAGTTGTAATTCAGAAAGTTGTAGTGATCAGGTGAGATTTAATTTCATTCATTAATCAAATTTATATGTTATTAAAATCAAAACTTTTATTCAAATGTTGAATTAACGGACTTTTTCAGAGGCTTGCAGCAATCATATGTTTTGTCACGACCAGTTTCCCAATCCCTTATAATTTGAATCTGTATGTCTAACTAGACTGAATGATAGGAACTTGTATTGATTTGCCTAGATCTGACGCCTGATAATACAGACTGTTAGTCTTTGAGATCATCTTTTTGATGTGAGATAAGCAATTTGGTTCGGATTGCATCCCTCGAAACATACAATATATACAGTGAACAGAAAAATAGAATCACGAGGAAAAAAGGTTAGGGAACACATATACATGTTTTTTTTTCAACTGCATTGCAATCAGAAAGAGACATAAAGGGATAGTGTTATATGATTCCTTTGCCTGGCGCGCGTCGTTCGTATTCCATCATCTGTTATATATTACCAGTTTTATAAAGCAGTTGGAAGTAATGTTTAGTTAATATTTCAAACAAGATGTATGTAAAAAGGACACAGAAGATACCAAATGGGCACAATAAAAAAAGTAATTGAAAAGAGATTCCCCTTTCCTCCCGATGAACTATAAATACTAGCAGAAAAACAAAAGACATGGTTATACTTGATTATAATTTGAATTCTTTGAATATACAAGGTCTCAACTTATGAAATATCACAGAAAGATGTCACTTTGTGTTCGACAGTTGTTAAAACATTGCGTATACTTAATTTTACGTCGACCATATATTTTCAGCCCAATAATAGTATCCCTTTCAGCTTATTCTGACACTAATAATGTCCATTCATGAGGTTTGGTTGATTGGCCCCACTGTTTTACTTATGGACATTCCACTGTTTATCTTAGTCATTTGCAACAGAAAGTTTATATAACAATCTGTTATCAAGTGTTTAAGTTTCATTATTATAGTTACAAGCAGAAAAGTCAAAATCCGAAAAAGAAGAAGAGATGGACAAAACAGTAGCAGAACCTAGTTGTGAATTAGACAACAGAGGTGAACAGGTCAGATATTATTTAGAACATTCACGTTTTTGATAAAAAATCATTTGTAAAACCTGAACGAAATTAAGTAAAAAAATAAGATTAAAGCTAATGTGTGGAAATTAGCAATTCATGGATTTTCTCAGAGGCTGGCATGAATGACTTAAGCCATTTAATACAACCCTTATCTCAGTCCTTTAATATTTGAATGATTGATTAGTTGTTGTGTAAAAAGCCACTTATAATTCGTTTTATCGGCCGTTCTACTCTCTGTATCAGTCTGCTCAGCTCTTTATAAGTATAGATTATCGCGTTTTCTACACATTGATATCGTAAAATATCAGCCGCGAGCCACAATGTGAACCTTTTTGGTAAGTGAGCTCAGCAAACGAGCTTAATAGCTTCACAATGTGTCGAGCGGCTGATATTTTACGATATCTATACGAAGAAAACCCGATTATCTCATGTATCTGTTTATCGTCTTTTCCCCCTCCCTAAGATAGTTTTACACTTGAGGAAAGCAAGCTTAATGACGTGTCCTCACACATTGGGACTTGTAATTCGTCGACCCGGCCTAAATAACTTTGACCCGGACATATCACCGACGTCATAATGAATGAACCGACGTATTACCCGAACTTATCAATTCTTCTTCTGGTGTGCTGGTGAAACAGAGAAAACACTTGTTTCCATCATGAAAAATACGCAAATACTACCCGATAAATTGATGATCAGGTTGTCTGCATATTGTTGTAAAATATGATCTGCTAGACACAGCATGAAGCCTTTTTGAACTCGTTCGCTGCTATCATTCGACAAAAAGCTTTATATTATTACTAAAAGCTGATATTTTACAAAATCAATATGCAGACAACCTGATAATCGCTACAGACTAAGTCATGGGGAAAAAGGATTATTTGTTGAAAGAAGCCAGTGTATCAAGAAAGAGTACCATAAACATAATAAAAAACAGGAAAACTGGCAAAACTTACCAATTAAGATCGGGGATCATTTATTTGATTTATCGACATTCCAACTGTATAGCTTATTCATTTGCAGCATCAATTTTATACAGCAGTCTGTTATCAATTGTTTATGTTACATTATTATAGTTACAAGCAGAAAAGTTAAGATCTGAAAAAGAAGAAGAGACGGTCAAAGCAGTAGCAGAATCTAATTGTGGATTAGACAGAAGAAGTGAACAGGTCAGCTATTGTTTAGAATCTTTGCTCTGTTGATGAAACTTATTTGCAAAACCTAATAAAATTTTGTAAAATATATAATTAGACCAAAGATATTAAGGGAAAATTAAAAAGTCATGGACTTATTAAGACAAATGTAAGAGGATGGTATGAATGACATTAGCCTATTGTCGCATCCTTTATCTCAGTCCATGATTATTTCAATGATCGATTGATTGTTGGTATAAAAAGCCGCTAATAGCACGTGAAGCTTAGTTATGGTGGATAGGTTTTATTGTTGGACGGATCCTGTATACCCAGAAAAAGAACCACCAACATAAAGCAGAAAAACTGACAAATCTTGTCAATTACGATCGGAGTCAAATGTACCTTGCCACGTGCGACTTATGAGTTGAATGTACCCTTTTGGTAATTTCCTATTCTCTTTTGCAAGTTTCAAACTGACAACCTCAGTCTTTACATGGTAATAGTCACTGTAGACTAACTACTACTTTCTATATTAGTCTGTTATGAAGTGATTATGTCTCATTTTTATTAGGGATGTCAGTTCGGTGAACAATAACTAATCTATTACTCGTTGGTTTTTATCAAGCGATACTCGAGTACTGGCTCTGGAATATATATACAACACGGAAACACAAAAAGACGTATTTTACATTCTGTGGTTTGTTGTTCAACAGGCGAAAAACGATCTACATAAGTATATGGGACAAGGAATTGCCCACCATAATTATATCTCATTACCTTCAGTTGCTAATTAAGTTAAAAAAAAGAATCTAATTAATTTGATTTATTGAACACACATTAAACAAATATAGCAAGGAAACCCAATATCAAACAATAGTATTTGGTAATAGTTAAGTAAATGATACAAAGTCATAAGGTTTAGAAATTAGACTTTTCACTAAGAGTCACCGGAGGATGCAACGAATTTATTTCATTTACTTGTCAAGTTTTATTGGGGACAGTCGATTGTGCAACTTTGTAAATTACAGTCTTGTAGACGAAATGTTTGCTCCGACGTCGGTACAGATGTGATTGAAATGGCTGAGACAGGTTTAGTTTAAACTGTTAGCCTACGTATAGCGCACGTATTTTTGGAGGTATTATAAATGACAATTTAGCACAAACATTCGAAATAAAATGTATTTTATTTACTAGTATGATTAATCAGTAATGTGTATTTAATTTTCCGAAAGAGGTTCCCAAAAAGATCAATTTTATATAAAGAAGACAGCAATATTCTAAAATGAAACCGATTAGTCGAGTATCGTTTTGGTATTCGATACTCGATACTACAAAGCGATACTCAATTACTTGAGTACGGGTTGACATCCCGATTTTTTATAGTTACAAGCAGAAAATTTCAAATCAGAAAAAAAAGAAGAGACGGACAGAACAGTAGCAGAATCTAGTTGTGAATTAGACAACAGAGTTGAACAGGTCAGTTATTGTTTAGAACATTCAGGTTTTGATAAAAAAAAAACATTTGCAAAACCTTATATAAATTTAGTAGAGTAGTTAGATCAAAGCTTATGTGTAGAAATTAACAATTCATGGACTTACTAAGAGAATGACACGGATGACACTTATCTGTTGTCACAACCCTTATCTCAGTCCATGATTATTTGAATGATTGATTAATTGTTGGTGTAAAAAGCCGATGATATAACGTTCAGCTTAGTCATAGTGGATATTTTTAATTGTTGTACGAAACCAGTGTACCCAAAAAAAGAACCACTGACATAAAGCATGAAAACTGGCCAATCAAGTCAATTAAGATCGAAGTCCAATATACCTTGCCTCTAGCGACTTATGATTTTGATAATAGGAACTGTAGATTAGTTACATATACCATTCGGCAGGTCTTTTTTTTTATCTAAAGAAAGAGCAAATACAAACAGCCAGCCTAAAAAACAATCAACTAGCGTATTATCTTTGAAAGATGAAAGTTGTTGTTTTACACTTATGTTTAAAATCGGTTCTTTCTTTCAGTAATAACATCCATTCTTGAGGTTTGACCATTTATTTAACTTATCGACATTCAAACTATTCAGCATATTCATTTGCATCAGACAAATTATTTACCAGACTTTTTTTTATTATAGTTAGAAGCAGAAAAGTTAAAATTAGAAAAAGAAGAAGAGACGGACAAAGCAGTAGCAGAATCAAGTTGTGAATTAGACAACAGAAGTGAACAGGTCAGCAATTGTGTAGAACATTCGCGTGTTTGATTCAAATTCATTTACAAATAAAGGCAACAGTAATATAACGTATAACGCTGTTCAAACGTCATAAATCGATTAAACGAAAACAAATCCAGGTCACAAACCAAATCCGCGGGAAACACACTCTTTTTATCAGAATTTAGATTGATCAGACAAAAAGGTATTAACCCTATTTGAAAAAGATTATTGGATATTTGAATATGATTGACAAAAATTTAAACCAATTTTCAATTATTTTAATCCATTTCAAACCATTCAAATCCAGTCAAATAGATTTCCTTGTCATTTCAGTTGTTTTAAGACGGTGCATTACATTTTCGCTGAAACATCATTACGTTTTCGTCCAGCTTTTGTTTACATTGGTTTTAATATTAAAGTTTAACAGTGCCCATACACAAAGAAAACATATATCCAATTACTATAATATTTAATTCCTATGTTTTTGTTTATATTCCTTTTTCACCAATGACTCAATAAATCACTTAACACTATCGGACAATTTGTGTTTTGTTTTTAACAATACTTATACCGATTTTTACATAGGGACAGATAATATACATGTATTTCTAAACTTTGATGTTTAAGTTTGAAGTTACCTATTGAGACTGAGAGATTGGCTAGAAATTAAAATATGTACTTTGTGTACTTTTTGAATTGAGGGAATTGGCAATGAGTTTCATGTATTGCTTATCTGTAGGAATGCCGATATTTCTGCTCCAAGACCGAAATTTATACCGCATATTATTATGTAAATAATCCAAGCATATTTCAGTGTTTTGATTTTAATGGGTTGTATTAGGCATATAAAATTAAAATTTTGGAAAAGGACAAACGATAATTAAAAAAAAATTAATCACTCTGGATTCTCTATTTATCATAAAAAGCTCCTGTCTAAGCTTTATAAATACCATCAAGATTTGACAAAATTATTGACCTTATTATACTTTTCTTTAGGTAAATTGAGAAAAAAAAAGTAAATTCATCTATCAGTAAAATATGGACAAACGAAATTGAAAAATTATCCATGATCTCTACAGGGATATAGAAATCCATGACAACAGCGTAGAACCAACAATCATGAATTTTAAAGTCTATATCATTTAGCATGTTTAGACCGGGGATCTGGCAGATTTTAACGATTTGACACAGCTCATAAAAATATATGTTTCAAGTAAGCAAAAACATCCGAATGATAAAAAAGAACTAACATAAATGTATTAGGCCCGGGAACACAAATATCGCCCTGGAGTCCATAGAATGGACAGTGCGTTAATGTCACAATTTTGTCATACACCTTATTTATTTCATCATGTTTACGCCTCAAAAAGGTCGAAAGGGAGTGAAAATACACTGTAAAAAAAATTGGATAAATTGTAAAATGAAGAAGTGATTTGGTTCAGTTGAAAAAGGTAAACAATTAGAATAAGTATCCATGAAGCTATCAAACAAAATTCAAGACGCCTTTAACTTTAAATTGTCCATGTCCTGAGTTAAGGCTAATATATAATTTTGATATTATTTGCCCAAAAAGCAGTATACAACACGGGGACGGATCCAGGATGTTTGAATTGGACGTAATTCCATAAAAATGAAAATATGTGTATCTATATGTAAGTACGTCTGAACCAGTGACAACTCTACGACAGATTTTATTCATCGAATCACCATTGAAGGTGATAAAAGGCTGAAAACACATTCTGTATATAATTTGTCTAAATAACAGCCTAACACAATTTTAAATCTGTAAATTTGCGGAAGCAAATTTTTGTTTTTCCCTGGCCTGGATTAGAACTCATGTACTGAGACATGTGAGATATCGTGGAATTAAATCGCTTTGCACTATAGATATATATACAGTTGGGTGCATACCAAGCATTACCCGTAGACGCACGAAAAAAGTTAATGCGGCGTTTATCCGTGTGCACTTCATGTAAACGCCGCGTTAACTCTGCGTTAACTCCAAAATTTTATTAGACATAAAGTAAACGGGCGTTTACTTTCACATTTAACTCTGCGTTAACGCGAAAAAGGCGAGTCTTCTAATTTTGTTCATACTAAACGGGCGTTTACTTCCGCGTTTACTTCCGCGTTAACGTAAAAAAAGTGCGTCTTCTATTTTTTTGTAAAAGGTTAACGCACGTTTAGTTACACTACTGACTGGACTAATGACAGGAAAATGACAGGACAATGACAGGACCAAAATGAAAATGTTTATAACTTATTTCATTTATCATTGGATTTATCTTAAATTTGAAATATAATAAGATTTCATCATTTTATGTTTGCTATATAAGACAAAAATACAAAAAATATTTCGAAGCTAGTGACTACGTGACCTGAGCAGCTTTGACAATGACCGGACTAATTTCGACAATGGCAGGACCAAATGAAAGTGAATATATTATTTTTTAATTTAGCAAAGGATTTATCTCAACTTTGAAATATAATAAGCCTGTACTTTTTATACCTCATAATGGATTGTAAGACACGAAAGTGAATAAATTTAAGTTAAGAATTGCAAAATTTGTTGTCGCATTAGAAAAAAGGTTGTCGCATCAATTTAAGATGTCAGTATTTTAAATTTTGTAAAATTATTATGTAACAACATTAAAATTCTGTTCTTTTTGTACTTAATGAGGTAACAATTTAACACAAATTGAGAGCTCTTTAAGCCTACGGTTAATTATATGTGTAGCGATAAAAATAAAAAAATTGTCAATATTTTGTTGTATTTAACTCAAGCTTGTACCATTGTACTGGCGGGATGAATTCTCG